GGGAGCCCATATAAAAACGGAGCGGACCACGGGCTGAGCATGACTCGCTCTTGTTCGGCTCGTTTACACCCCTACTCATAGGCCTACCATTATGCATCTAGATGATTGATAGTTGACTTAGTTAACCCATCACTATATTCTCTTAAGTTAAAATTTAATCTTAGGCTACTTATAGACCAAACATCGAGCTTGACCATAGTTTAAATCAAACTTAGCCAAGGTTGGCCTAAGCCTGTAGATCAAACATTGACTTTAAGATTAGCCTAGCCTCCTTGAGGTTTAAACCTTAAATGGTGAGCTCCGTGGAACATATTTGACAAACCTTTGGTTTTGACATGGTCATAGTCAACTCAGGAGAACCCAAATTGTGTTATATATCTCTGAATTTACTTAAACCCAAACTTAATCATTCGATAAAATCCAAATATTTTAATTAATCAAACTAAATCATCAATTGACTTCCATCAAAAAGTCTCATCAAGATTGATGTTTGTAACTCTTAAACAATCTTATGAAGTCAAACTAAAATAGGTAAACTCTAATTGGCAAGTGAATTCATTTGAACTTGAAATCCATTGAATTGAGTTCATATAAAACACTAATAAATGGTGTAAAAGGCTCGCATACAGGTTTAAGTTCAAACTTTGTATAGATTTGAGCTCAAAAATAGTTTGGCATTAATAAAATTAAATAATTGAAACCATTTAAGCAACACACCAACACAAAGCAACAACCATCGAGTTAGTTTGACCATAGTTTAAATCAAACTTAGCCAAGGTTGGCCTAAGCATGTACATCAAACATTGATTTTAGGATTAGCCTAGCCTCCTTGAGGTTTAAACCTTAAACGCTGAGCTGCGTGGAGCATATTTGGTTAAACCTCTACAAACCTTTGATTTTGACATGGTCACAGTCAACTCAAGAGAACCCAAATTGTGTTATATATCTCTTAATTTACTTGAACCCAAACTTAATCATTCAATAAAATCCAAATATTTTAATTAATCAAACTAAATCATCAATTGACCTCCATCACCAAGTTTCATCAAGATTGATGTTTTTAACTCTTAAACAATCTAATGAAGTCAAGCTAAAATGAGTAAACTCTAATTGGCAAGTTAATTCATTTGAACTTGAAATCCATTGAATTGAGTTCATAAAAAACACTAATAAATGGTGTAAAAGGCTCACATACAAGTTTAAGTTCGAACTTTGTATAGATTTGAGCTCAAAAATAGGTTCACATTAATCAAATTAAATAATTGAAACCATTTAAGCAACACACCAACCATCAAACTAGCTTGACCATAGTTTAAATCAAATTTAGCCAAGCCTGTAGATCAAACATTAACTTTATGATTAGCCTAGCCTCCTAGAGGTTTAAACCCTAAATGGTGACCTCGGTGGAGCATATTTGGTCGAACCTTGTACACATTTTTGGTTTTGACATGGCCATTGTCAACCCAGGAGAACCCAAATTGAGTAATATATCTCTTAATTTACTTAACCCAAATTTAGTCATCCAATAAAATCCAAATATTTTAATTAATCAAACTAAAGCTTCAATTGATCTCCACCACCAAGCCTCATCAAGGTTGATGTTTTCAACTCTTAAACAATCTTATGAAGTCAAGCTAAAATGAGTTAACTCGAATTAATAAGTCATTTCATCTGAACTTGAAACCCATTGAATTGTGTTCATATAAAACACTAATAGATGGTGTAAAAGGCTCATAAACAGGCTTAAGTTCAAACTTTGTATAGATTTGAGCTTAAAAATAGTTTGGCGTTAATCAAATTAAATAATTGAAACCATTTAAGGAACACACCAACACAAAGCCAACAACCATCAAATTAGCTTGACCATAGTTTAAATCAAACTTAGCCAAAGTTGGCGTAAGCCTCTAGATCAAACATTGACTTTATGATTAGCCTAGCCTCCTTGAGGTTTAAACCCTAAATGGCGAGCTCGGTGGAACATATTTGGTCGAACCTTGCACAAACCTTTGGTTTTGATCTGGTCATTGTCAACCGGCGAGAACCCAAATTGAGTTATATATCTCTTAATTTACCTTAACCCAAATTTAATCATCGAATAAAATCTAAATATTATAATTAATCAAACTAAAGCATCAATTGACCTTCATCACCAAGCCTCATCAAGATTGATGTTTGCAACTCTTAAACAATCTTATGAAGTCAAGCTAAAATGAGTAAACTTTAATTAATAAGTCATTTCATCTGAACTTGAACCCATTGAATCGTGTTCATAAAAAACACTACTAAATGGTGTAAAAGGCTCATACCAGGCTTAAGTTCAAACTTTGTATAGATTTGAGCTTAAAAATAGTTTGGCATTAATCAAATTAAATAATTGAAACCATTTAAGCAACACATCAACACAAAGCAGCAACCCTTCCAATTAAAAGTAAGAAAAAAGATGAACAATAGAATCAATTCTCCCTGTAAGAAAACATCTTCGTAAATTATCGCATCTAGCGAATAAACAGCCAACTTGAATCTTGAATATTAATCAATTCACCAAAATAGTCTTGTATTAATCCACAAATATACACTATTGTAGCAATAATAGAGAAATGCAGCAAACCATATTAATATTCATTTGCCTACTTTCCCTTGGAAGAAATATAAACCATAAATAAAGCAGCATAAACATAAATGAATAACATGATCCTTTAACATTAAAAGCACTACTACGTGGTGCTGCAAAAAACAAGGGAAAAAAAAAAAGTTAAGTCCGTGAAGAGATAACAAAAAAGCATACAAAAAGTGAAGAAAGTATGAGAATATATAAAAGTCATTGAATAGTGAAATAGCACATACTGATATTTTAATTTTGACATCTGCTTGGATAAGCTTTGTTTTCTTTCATACATCTCCTGAGCAGCTTTAAGTTGATTTTCTTCATATTCACGAATGTTTTGGACTCCTACAGACTCGCTAAATTCTTTGTAAATGCGATCAGAGATTTCGTTTATCCTTTTTTCAAGTTTACGAATATCTTCACTTGTCTTAGTAATGAGACTTTCCAGCTACATGCATGGAAAAACACAAGTTACAAAAAAAATAAAAAACGAAGGGTGGCCAATATATGGCAATAACAAGTTGTAACACCTTCACAAGATCCGGCTTGATACGACTTATCTCTTTTATAACATTACTCTTTTCTTCCTTTAGCTTTAAAAGCTTAACCCTAATATTCTCCTGCAAAAAGAAAAAAATATTGACTAAATAAACATAACAGTAAAAGCACCAAATAAGAATGGGAAAATTAGTATCGAAGTAAAATATTACATCTCTAAAAGATGAGAGAGAAGTGGATGTATCTTAATGGAAAGAGTCAAAAACAATTCTCAAGGCTCGACAAATATGTAATATTCCATGTAAAGGATAAAGAATAAAATATTTCTAAAGAAAAACAAATCAACATGAATCTTTTAAGGTTATTTATCAAAGCGCCAGAGTTTAAATCTTTAAATTAGGTGGATTTGGATTCTGCAGTTCATTACCCGGAGAAGAGATGAAACAATGAAGCGAAAGAGAGAATAAAGTTCAACACGCTATCAAGAAAATATGGGAGGAAAAACTACAAGGGTAGAAGTTGTTCTAAATGCGTTCTAACGAACTCAAAAGTAACAAAAAGGAGCCTGTAAACAGAAAAATAAATATCGCGGAAAAACACAATCACAATTAATGTAAAATCAATGATGACAATGCCATTGGCCGGAAAATGAAAACTATCAGGGTTCAAGTTTCCAATGGTGGAAAATAAAGTCATTTAACATCTACATTAGAATAAATCTCAAAATAGTCCTCCAACTATTTGTATGTGGCCAATCTAGTCTAAAAGTATCACATTTTTATAATTTAAACCCCCAAATATAGAAAGTTGATCCAAAATAATCCCTCAAGTAGAATTGTGATACAAAATTGATCCCAATTTAAATCTCCAATTTAGTTCATGGGGAATCCTTTTAGATCAAATTTTTATAGTTGAGCAACTCAATTAAGGAAATAAAAAACTCTATAACTACATTAACCACCACATAAATGGTGAGGGATTATTTTAGCATTTAAACCATGTTGATAGGGAAACTCAAAGAGGAGAACAAAACGAGAATCTGAATCTGTTCCATATGAAGTGATGAGGAAGACAGGCCCTGATGCTTTGGTTTCAATATCAGAGAAGACCAAGAGAAGAGGCTACTTATAGAGGACACAAAAATTTTAGTGTCAAATTAGAACTTTCGGAGTTGGATGGAGTTATGGATCCCGACAATTTCCTCGAATGACTACAATCAGTTGAGAGAACCTTGGAGTACAAAACAAATGCCATAGGAAAAAGGTGAAGCTTGCAACTATCAGGTTGAAAGAGAATGCTTTCTTTTGGTGGGAAAATTTACAGAGACAGAGAAATAGAAAGGGAAGTAACAAGATTACCGAGTGGGAGAAGATGAAAAAGTAGATGCAGAGAAAATATCTAGCACCTCATTACAGCAAAGATATGTTTCTGAGGCTCCACCCTCTGCAGCAGAGAGACCTATTGGTGGAGGAGTTCATGAAAAAATATGCCAATACAAATGAAGTATGAGTTGGTCGGGTTGAGGAACATACTATAGCCCGTTATCGGGGAGGAGGGTTCTGAAGCTCTCTGTAAGCAATGTGGTACAATTGCAGCCGTATTGGTTATTGGGAGATGTCCAGTCCTTAACTTTGAAGGCGGAAAGACAACAGAAACATAGCAGATAACAATCCTCATTCAGACAACAATCCTCATTCAGACAATCACCAACAACTGCAGCTACCAACAAGGATACCTCTTGATGAGTTGGAAAGACAGAACAAGTAATAAAACTGATTTGAGCGAAAAAAAACTGACAAAGAGTAGCTTGCCCAGTATAGTGCCTGTCAAAAAAAGTTTCAAATGCCAAGACTACGAACACATAGCCTCCGGCTATCCCACGAGCCGAGTTGTTTATTTACGGAGTAGAGCGTTGTCGAGGAATTGGAGGAAGAGGAAGCGGAGGAGAATTTAGAGCAAGAATTTAGCACCTGGGGGATGAGGGAGAGATGCTCGTCATACGAGCATAATATTTTTCGCACCAAGTTCACGATGAATGGAAAATTTGCATTTTGACTATTGACGGTGGGAGCTGTGAGAATGTAGTATTCAAGTTGATCATGAAGAAACTGAGTTTGGCAACACAGAGGCATCCTCAATCCTACTCCCTTATCTGGTTGAAAAGGGGGAATGAGATACCGTGGATCAACAATGCTTGGATGGATTTTCGATTAGGGATCAGTTACAAGAGCAAGTGTGGTGTGACATGGTCCCTATGGATGCATGTCATATTCTGTTCGAGAGGCCATGACAGTTTGACCGCAAGATCCAACATGACGGCTTCAAGAATACTTATTCATTTAATAATTATGTAAAACACAACGTTCAATTACCATTCAAAAATGCTAGAGACGTAGAAGATATAGAGGCGGCGGTAGCCCCGAGAACTACCTTAATGAAGTCAGTTCAGGATGCTCTAGTGGCAATGACATTGTTCATACTAGAGGGAATTGAAGAATAGATTGAGATACTCGCACTTATACAGCCACTGCTATGTGACTTCCAGGACGTGATGATCAACGATCCTCCAGAGAGATTGTTGTCACTAAGGGACAATCAACACACCATATATCTCATGCTCGGATCAGTGTTACCAAATTGGTCTACCTACAGATTGAGACCTGCAGAGTACGAGAAGTAGTAGCGACAGGTATAGAATCTCATCACGAGAGGGTTGGTCAAACAGAGTACTAGCTTGTGTGTTGTCTTCACCCAAATGGTAGATAGGAAAGACGGATCGTGGAGGATGTGTATTGATAGTAGGTTCATTAACAAGATTAATATCAAGTATTAATTCCCCATAACTCGCCTGAACAATCTCTTGGATCAGTTGCACTCAGCCACTGTCTTTTCCAAAATCGACTTACACAATGGGTACCACCAAATCCGAATGAGGTCGGGCGACAAGTTGAAACCGCTTTCAAGACCCTAGATGGATTATACGAGTGTACAATCATGCCTTCGAATTGTCTAATATGCCCAACGCGTTTATAAGATTGATGAATGAGCTATTTCAGGCTCACATCAAGAAATTCCTAGTGGTGTACTTCGATGACATTCTAGTATATAACAGATCCAAGGAGGACCATTTACAACACCTGAGGCCGGTCTTCAAGGTTCTACAATCAAAAAAGTTATATGCACATCCAAGGAAGTGCCACTTTATGATAGTGCAAGTATGTTTTTTGGATTATAACATGTATAGTATAGACATTTAAATAGATCCCACAAAGATCAAGACCATTGTGAACTGGACTGCACCGCAATCTTTCATCGAGCTGATACAATTATTGGGGCTAGCATCATTCTACAGGCGATTCATCAGGAGCTTCAGACCATCACTACCCCACTTATAGAACTTTTGAAAGGAGAGATTCCAGTGAGCAGATGCAGCTCAGATCAATTTTGACACTTTGAAGGAGAAAGCGACTCAGACATTAGTATTGGTGTTACCAGATTTCAATCAGTCGTTCGAGGAGAAGTGTGATGCATCCAACGTGGCTATAGAGCAGATTTGAGCCAGGGAGGCCACCCGATAAGCTTCTTCAACGAGAAACTAAATGAGTTTCAAAGGAAATATTCGACATAAGACAAGGAGTTTTATGCTATTGTGAGAGTCCTTCCTTGATCACTGGAGCCATTACCAACTAATGAGCGAGTTTACCTTATTCTTGGATCATGAGGCTTCAAAATTCTTGAATAGCCATAGTAAACTGGAGGGACAACAAGCACCTTGGGTAGAGTTCTTGGTGTCATTTCAATTCATGCTTAAGCACGAGGCGGGAAGCTAAAACCGAGTAGCAAATGCACTGAGCCTCCGTCACTTGCTAATCACTTCAATGCAGACACGAGTTGTAGGTTTTGAAGTAGTAAAAGAATTATATGAAACAAAAAAGACTTCAAAGGGATTTGGGAGCAGGATAAGGAGAAGCCCATTGAGCAATACCGCAGGGCTGATGGTTACTTGTTCTGCTAGAATAAGTTGTGTATCCCTAGATGTTCATTCAGAGAGTCCATTGTTCAAGAAAGTCACAGTCAATGACTTACAGGACACTTTGGCAGGAATAAGGCTCGCACTCGTGAGAAAACACTTTCATTGGCCTCGACCGATGAGTGATGTGGAGAAACACGTCATGTGATGCCAGATTTATGATATGGCCAAAATAAGGTGACATAATACAGGACTATACACTTCACTACTAATGTCGGAAGCGCCGTGGGTAAATGTCAGCATGAATTTTGTGAAAGGTCTTCCGAGGACGCAGCGGAATAAGGATTTCGTGAATGTTGTGGTGGACAGATTCTTAAAGATGACACACTTTGTAACCAACCACTGGACGTTGAATGCACCGCATGTCGTTGATTTATACGTCAGGGACATAGTGAGACCCTACGAATACCCAAGACCATCACTTCCAACAAGGATGTCAAGTTTTTGAGTCACTTATGGAGGACTATATGGGAAAAACTTAGCGCCAAACTTCAATTCAGTTCAGCAGCTTGCCCGTAGACGAATGTAGTGAATAGGGGTCTAGGGAACCTTCTGATATTCTTTGTGGGAAAGAATATTAAGCAGTGGGATTTGACTCTAGCTCAAGCCGAGTTTGCTTACAATAGATCTGTGATTCAGACCACGGGATGCACACTATTAGAGATTGTGTACGAGCGCAACTCGCTTATTCCACTTGACTTGGCACCTCTCCTAACGACATCAAAGATTATTGAGGATGTTGAGGAACAGGCGCAAGAGGTTAAAAAGTTACATGACGAGATGGGAAAGAAAATCACTGAGCAGAATTGCAAGTATCAGGCACAGGCAAACAAGTACAGAAAAATGATAACATTTCAAGAAGACCTAGTGTGGATTTGATTGAAAAAAGAAAAGCTCCCCATGGGAACTTTTAGCAAACTCAAGCACAAAGCAGATGAACCTCTTAGGATTCTCAAGAAGCTGAACGACAATGTCTACAAGATCAACCTTTTAGGGAACTACAATATTTCCGCTACCTTTAATGTAGTTAATTTAACTCCATGCTTTAAGGAACCAGAAACTTCGACAAACGTGGGGTGCATGGGGGCTGAACCAATTCAGCCTAGGGTTGCAAGAGACCGGCCAGCCCCTTGACCTAATTGAAATTGCAGCCCAAATCTACTATTATATATATTTCATGTTCTCTATTTATGGTCTCAGTTTTCCTGATTTCATATTTATGACAGTCGGCGTTTTTCCCATGTTAGGGTTGTATCCAATGATAACTGGTGCTCCGGCTGTATCCTGTTTCAAAGTGGTGACTATCTCCCCATAATCCCCTCACCTACCTTTCCTTCTTGCCACCAATCTATTGTTCCGCTCTTCAGCCCGTCCAATCCTTGGTCCAGCTACTGCCACCCTCTCCTCCTTCCACTACGGCTATCGCAATCCTACCCTGCTCTCACTACTGCATCCACAAATGCCACCTACACATGCTGCTACTGCCAATTCTCCACAGTAAATCTTTTGTGCAGCTGCAAGACCCCTTCCAATCCCTCCTGTTGTCGCCTCTCCAAGTAATCCCCCCTGTGGCTGCTGCAACCCCTCCAATACCCACTATTGCTGCTGAAAACCCCCTCCAGCCAGCCCATCTAGTGTCCCTCCATGGGGAATCATTCGTGCTTTGGTGTTGTTTTATTTCCTTTTTCAAACGTTGTTGTAATCTCTTTGAGTTTTCTGCAACAAGATTCACGTTCTGCTGTTTTTCAGGTTAACTCCGATATCAACTTCATCACTAAGATTTGACATGTATAAGGTGCCTCACAAACATAGAAATTCAAAATGTGCCCATATGAGATAAATACCTTCTAACATTAAATTTCTGCACGATATCACGAGGCTCCAGCTGGTATAATGCGTAAACTATAAGGAGAGGTTAAGATGCATAGCTTTACCCCTAACAATTTTTAGAAGCTATGCTCATGAATGAAACCCTTGACTTTAAGATAAAAATAAAGTTGGCATTTGTTGCTCCTCAGTCCAAAAGATCATCATGAAAAAAAAATATACAAAGGGCCAAATAAGTCAGAAAATTTTAAAATACTAAAAAGCTCTCAGTTTCTCTAAAGATCAAAAAATAAAATGTTGTCATAGAAAAGCATTACAAGAAATTTCTGAATGAAAATGAAAAATGTTAAAAATAATTTATTCATTTTACCTCTTCCTTTTTGGAAAAATGGATTTTCTTTTCCAACCCAGATATTCTTTCTGATATCTCTGATTCTTTCATTTGCAAATCTCTGAGCGAGCCAAGGGCATCCATTTCTGATTCGAACTTATCCTTCTTTTTCTTAAAGGCTGTAAAGCGCCGATTTAACATGACATACATTAGGAAAAAAATGAAATTATTCAAATAAAAAAATTTCAGAAAAAATACATACCCTCAATTGTACTTTCGTCCCACTTATTTGACCTTGCTTCCATCCCACCGCTTAACCCACCAGTCATTGTGCCCGACTTTGACAGGAGTATTCCATTTATGGTAACCACTGCATAAATAGATTTCACAAATGAAAATAAGTAGAATATTTGAGCTCACAAAGAATACCAAATGAAGTTTTAGAAAATCATTTACCCTTCTGCCTCTCCCCACTCCAGCTAAGAATTTTAGCTTCTTCAAGATCTTCACATACCAGGGTATTCCCAACAGCAAATAAGACGGCCCTCTCCAAAGATCGGTCAAATGTGCAGTTGTTAAGTTGAAAAGTAGATTATTTAACATGAAATCTCAACTAAGTGAATGGCTAATGGAGAATCATCATCGTCATTTTGATTAGTATTATTAATCATCATACTTCTTTTATTCCTGGTAAATGCTACTGAGTTAAAGCAATTTTGTGCAAATCGATCTAACCAAACATCTATGTATGTCACTTTAGGTCTAAAAATTCTAATTCCTAATACATTGGCATTAAATATGATTACACCCCTCACAAATGCATCTTCCATCGTATATTGCAATGGATTGCTCCCATATATTAAATAATGGCCTTAAGTCTGTACTCCAAACTAGGAACTGCATATCAAAGATTTTACTTTAAAACATAAGAGGGCATAAATCTAAATGCAAAGAAGCCATCAGAAAAGCATGAATTAAAATATTGTGCAACTTCAAGTACAACTATTAAAACTTTAATTATAGGATATTGTATTACATCAAATACGAGCCGTGCAGTACCACCCAGAGTGCGCAATTTCTCAATTATTGGTTTCACACGAACAGATTGCAAAGGTATGAATGTCTGTGGAGGGAGACGTTGTTCCTTCAAATACTAAACATAAAAAAGAATGATTAGTAATAGTTGCATTACTCCAAGAAATGTCCACAAAATTATGACACGTATATAACATAAATAGCATGTCAATGCTCCGAGTAACTCAAAATGTATTGGAGAGAGAGAGCTACTCTCCATATGCTAAAGCTAAAACTTCATATTTGACGATTATCTCACCATAAAAAAAACTCAATTCTCAATCTATAAAACTTTTTATGCCTTCTGATGACAAAATACCAATTGCTTACAAGTGTTATGCACATGTGAACAATTAAGATTTCATGTTCGAAATTTAAACATTTGTGAACACAAAAATATATTTCTGCATTATATCGATGTATTACACTAGCATTTCTATTCCCAAACATAATCTAAAATATGCTTTGGTTTGGTGACTATCTTCTAATAAAAATAAACAATGTACAAGAGATAAATTAACTTTTGAATTCTTAAAAAATAATATCAAATCTGAAAATAAGATGTACATTCTTCAAGCCTAAGGTTGTCCTCGTCATTCTGTCCCTAGCTCCATGAGCATTGCTAGAGCATACACACCATATTTTGTGCACGCACACAATCAAGCGTATTTTCCTATGCCACAAATTGGAGCATGGATACACTCTCTTACAATCTAGAAACATCATAAGGGAGTTATATTAATGAGCTTTTTCATCTCTACAATGACCGGTGATTTCTATCAACTAGTTTCATCAATTGTTTTCACCTAGTGCAAGCTTATGCTACAAATTTCTCTTAGGTGACTTTCAATTTTTTTGACTTTGGTCTTACAGGTAGATTCACAAATTTTTTTCACTGTTTTTCCTTTCTTAGATTCTTTTAATTCTCTAAATTGATCATCTGTTGTCCGACTCCAAGGAGCATTATTTTTGTTGTTAAAACATGATGCAAACAGTGGCTCAGTTGATTGCAATGTTTTGATGAAGGACACACTTTACTAGTTTGGTTCTAACTTCATCTGTTTTAATCCTACGATGTTTTTTTTTCTCGTTCTTTATTTAATGCTTTAGCTGTAACCATATGTTCAATAATATCCTGTACATGCAAGAATTTCAAAATTTTCATTTTATTATTATTGTTAGTACTATTATTATTAAAAGTCACTTATAAAAGCTCTTTGGAATTCTATTAGTTAAAACTAATATTGCTTGCTATTCAACAAAGTGATTTGTAGTAATTATTTAAAATTTAGCTTAAATGATAGCGCCCTGGTTTCTTTGGCGTGTTATGGTTTCAGGTTGATCTTCCTTTCAATATTGCATGCATTCTTTTAATGTTATGATCCTAAATGTAAGTTCAATAATTCCTTAAGCGCACAAGGATTTTACAAATAGATATATATCTATTTTTTCTTCACCTCTCCAATACAGCCATCCCCTTAAGATGTTTAGAGATCTAATAATTAAATTTATAATTGCAAAATATTTATTTAAGTGATTTAAATTAAATATTTCATAATCCGTATCTCTTCTCAAAACTCTTTAGCACTACAAAGGATGTCGAATATTTTAATGCCGTGCTATGAATTACATTGTATGGTTTAGGGGCATTTACATCCATAGCACACAAATCTTATGTGTTTACATATGTAATACAAGTTTCAAATTTACATGCATAACACCCAAAAATTATTAATGCTCATCAAAATTACCACTAGAACTTACTTTTTAAAAGTGAAATAAATCTTTTCGTGCATAGTTTTATGACAACAAAGGGTTATAAGTGTAAATATCAAGCTTTAGGTGTTAGATATGTAACACATGGGATTTTTGTGGTATGTATGTAAATCTTCCAAAATCTTAATGTGATTATTAGTTATTAGATGTGCACTTCAATTCATTGAACTGCACGCTTTGTTTGTACCTCAAGATTTAAAGTAAAACCTGCAATTATCAGTTCGCAAATTGACAGCCCTGCTCATGGACTCAAAAGTTCCTGCAGCAGAAAGAAAATTTAAGGAGACAGAATATCTCACGCAACAGTTTCCTAGTATTTTATCACTTAGTAAAGCCATCATCCATTCCAAGCAAGTCTTACAGCCATTAGGGAAAGGATGGTCAAGCTGAAATTCAACAAGGATGCATCCCAACCTGAAAAAAGATAAATTACAGCAAACAACATCAAATATCAAGCTTCAAGGGACTAGAATGTTCCCCAAGTTTAGCAACTTGTCCGAGCACATCCAAGAAGAAAAGTTTAAAGAAGTGAGTCAAGGGAGTGACCAGCCCAGGAGGTTTTCTTACAATTCAGTAAGAATGGGAACAAGAGAAATGAAGGCAAAATATTGCCTAGATCAAAAAGAAATCATGAAAAAAAATCAAATGAAAGGTCGAGCAAATAATATTAACAGCTCCGGCATCAATACACATTGTACTTTTGACAATTTACTTGTTAATACTAAACAAAAAAGGAGTAACTTGGTTATAAATTGTTAATACTAAACAAAAAAGACTAACTTGTTTATAAAAACCAGTACTGCTCAGTCCATATCATAACCAGGAGTGAAAGGTATAACAGCGGCCAAGGCACCAACAGAGATTAGAAAGTTATAGTTAATTTCTCCATTCCAGTTGACAAATCAAACTTCCAGCAGTACTCACATAGATGGCAACCATAGAAACATTTTCCAACTATATAAATGAAAGAAAGATTGCAAGTTTCATTTGGCTTACCTTAATGCACTCTTTTCCTGTATTTTCATCTTCTACAACTATAGCATCCATAAACTTGCCCATAGCAACTGTAACAGCAAGATTAAATTTTTTCTGCGAGGGCCTGCAAAGTTCAGTCATCCGACCATGGACTCCTGAAAATAGCCGTTTAAGACTCTGCACAGTCTCTGACAATCGAGCATCTCGTTCACTTTCATGTTTATCAGCCTTCAGCTCCCGCAATTTTTGATCACATTCTTCAACTTTCTGCTTCAGACTTTGATATCTTCCCCTACAATCAAAGTTTTGTGCTTTAATTAAGATTAAGAATGAACTTCAAAAATAAAAGTAAAACCACAATTTAGTTTGTATAACTGATATATGAATAGCAGCTGCAAAGGCCCTGCTACTATCACAAAACTTGGACTTAGAGAAACTCCGGCCAAGCCCAAACAAAGACCCATTCAAGCTTGAACCATTCAACCCTAAATACAAGGGACCTATAGTTTGATTGCAATTGGCGTTCATGACATTTCATTTTGCTGAACATACTCTAAATAAATATTAACATAATTTTTTCTTCTCATAATAGAAAAGTAGAATTCTAACTCCAAGCCAATCATATTACGACCCACTGTTTAGTAAGACAGTTTTTTTTTTTTTTTCTTTTCAATAACATTTGTTCTTCTGATGATCGAAGTAACCTTAGATGCCACTGCACAACCTTAAGAAATTATAGGTCATCCACTTCGATGTTAAGGCGGTTCTGTGCATCTCTCTCTCTCTCTCTCTCTCTCTCTCTCTCTCTCTCTCTCTCTCTCTCTCTCTCTCTCTCTCTCTCTCTGTGTGCGCTAATCATAGGTGCAAATAAGCATTGGTTGCCTGGCTTTTTTATTAAGCAGCTGGGCCATCGTGGGGACAGCCTAGACAGTTTGGACATGGATTCTAGGTCTGGCTCTGGTGTAGATATGGAATGTCCCGAGGAAAAAAAATAAAAAGATATGGTTGGTCAGAGTTAATTGCCCTGCTCTTCCTAAGATCTACGGAGGAAAAAATCATGTGCCCAGAACAGGAAGATGAATTGCCCCAAATAAGCATTAGATTGTCCATGATCTCCAAATCATAAAACAACTGACCGAGCTGAGCTGATATCAGTTTGTAATTCTTTCAGTTCTTTGTTAGCCCGTGAAATTTCTTCGTTATGCTTCGCAATTGCCTCACAAACTTTCTTCAATTTTGTTTTCAACTGCTCTTCCTGTGAAGAAAGCTCCAGTTCGCGGCTTCTGAGCTCTTGGTGATTCTCATTCAAGTTTTTACAAGCTTCATCAGCAGCACGTAGTTGCCTATCAAGAACTTCTTTCTCATCCTTTAATTTGGCAGTTTTTGTCCCAGCCGCCTCCTTGCTGCAGAATAAAAAATATATATATTTTCAAAATTTAAATTATAAGATATTATATTTGGAATGTTCTAAAAAACAAAGTGAAATAAAAGTACTCCGTGACAAATATTTTCGAAAAAAAATACAACCATCTTCATATCTGCATAACAAATTGTTTATTATATCAAAGTATTAGATAGATTGACAGGATGAGATCAATGAGGGTTGCTTTTTTTAATACATGATAGAAAAATGAGTTATTAGATGATGTTGGGATAGCAGTTGTGGGGTTATGATTTAAGTCAGCCTGCTAAAATATAAATCACCAAGTCTTATCAGCTTGAAAGGTGTTCATGCAAAGTGCATCAACTCCTTACGAAAGGAAATAAAATACGAACTCATGTTAAACAGTAAAGTGAAAAATATTCTTCTGCAAATTTAAGTGTATTAAGTCAATAATATATTCAACCTCCAAACAGCTAGATAATAGTTAAAGATAAGCAAGAATATTTCGAACTAGAGTGTGGCAAGAAAATCTAGGAAATAAGATTAGTTGTCGCTATATATTAAAGGAAAATTTGACGGATATAGCTTACATCCTATGATATTCCTCAAGTTGATTATCAGCTAACTGCAGCTTGGCAACTCCATCCTGACCGCGCTCATTCAGCACATCCATGGCTTTCTTCACATCGGCCAAGTCATTTTCTAGCTTCAATATTTCTTTTTCATGCTTTCGCTTCTCATCTTTCTTTTTCTCCAGCTCTTTCTTGCTGCTTTTAATTTTTGAATTGACCCGAGATGCTGCTTCTTTAAGTTTTAAAAGCTCTGGTTGCTGAAAAAAAAGGGAAAAGAACTTAAACGAAATGATTAATTTCAACAGCTGCTACATGAATGCAACAAATGAACATATAGTGGTGATAATTTCTAGATAAATAATATTTTTGGCATTAGCAAATTATTTTGAGACAATTTTCTATTTGTAGGGAGTGGATAATATTTACTGTTTCTCCGAATATTGCAATACATTTCCCTATAAAAAAGGGGGCCCTCCTACATGAAAAAACATTGATAAAAAAATGATTTAATTAAGTTTAATGAATAGATTAAGATACAAATTGGGTTTAAAAAAAAATAGCATAAAGTTTTATTTCATCCAATCAGGACATGCCTAAATAATTTAAAATGGAGTAGAGTTTGACTAACCATGTAAACCCCCACCCCACTAATACACCAAAGTACAAATATGTATACAATTAGAAATGCCTTTTTTTATTCTTATAATTTGTTGTTCGCTTACGTTGTCATTCATCTCTAAGAATGTCGATTTACCAAGATTACCTCATAAAAACACACAAATCTCTTGTGCGTACCTGAACCATTAGCCATCCACAACACAAGAAAGTTTGAGAAGTCAACTACAATCCGAATAGTAAAACTCCTAATGCCCAAAATGTTTTCGCTCTCTCCCACATATAAGTGCATGAATATATTATACCTAGCAAATGACCACAAGAGCGCACGCAAAATTTTAATAGACATAATGCTTGCAAATAATTAAGGCCAAAGCACCCATAATATGGGCATACACATGCATGTGAGAGCATGCCTAAATAGATGAGGATAAATTATTTGCCTTTGTAAGAGAAAGCACACAAACAAATATATTAACTGTGCATGACCAGGGAAAAATTTATAGCAACCATGCCTAATATTATCTGTGGCAAGTTATTCCTCATAAACTCATAAATAAAACAATACATAACCTTTCTATAAACTTAAATATTGATAACCAAAATATACTCAAAATTTAAAAGTAAGAATAATATGACAATCCATTGAATATATAAGTACAATAAGATAAACAAGAAAAAAACAAATATGTACCATTAAATATGAATTAATTATTCATTCTACAAATCATAAAAATAAAAAAATATGCAACAAACACACACAAGAAAAATTAAAATACCAGTCTAGAAGAAAATAAATAAGAAAAATAAGATTGAAACGTTACTATCTACAATGAAAGATGATGAAGCTTCTGAAACTTTGAGGGAAAAAAGGAAAAAAATAAAATTAGAAATAATAAAGTGCCGTCCAAGTATCTATTGTAAACTAAGCATAATACTTTATTATTTTCACGATTCCTCGCACCAAGCATCTACTCTATCTATTGTAAACAAAGTGTAATACCCCTTTAATTGAAGTTAGAGGAAGCACCAAGAGTTGAAATACTCAAGTAAATTTCACATCATTGTGAACATTAAGAATTCATTCATCAATAAATAAAAATAATAATAATTAATAATTAATAAAAATATAAAAAAAAAATTATTCATCAATAAAGATTGTATAAGATTTAGCTAATTTAGCAATATCATAATTTTAATTTATCACAAGCTGACATAAATGATCTTTATTTTTCATGACATTGATTATTATCATCATATATCCATCATATGTTGGAAGGCATGTCTCTCTTGTCCAATATTGGACTGATCTTTTGGAAATAAACAGAGTGTAGGTGACATACCCCCTCAAAATCGTGCATTCCTTTTCATTTCTCGAAGTGACATCCTCATAGCAATAACTCAAATTAATTCCAAAATCCTGAAATTATTGATTAGATAAAAATACATTCAAAGAGGCATTATTTATAGATTAAAAGTTTCACTTCTTATATATGTTTCCTTTGTTTGCTCCATGTCTGCCTTTTTTATAGTTGCATGGTTTTTTGTAATTAAAATAAAGTAAGATATGCATTATTCTCTTAAAATTTCAAACAGTTGTAACCATCATATATCTAAAAATAAGAAAAGGTACGAGGACCACAAATATTCATAAAATAGTTAGTTGATTTAAAATCCTGCTTTAATGATTCAATTGCTAATATTTTGTAATGTCAAGGTTGCTATGTTAGGTTGTGTAAATATGACAAAAAATTTTAGGGAGAAAAAAGGCAATGATGCTGAACAAATGCGTTATTATCTTGTCATCGCTTGGGATGACATGAATATATGTTCATACTAGCCATCCTATTATCAGATAGGATTATTTGATCAGGTTTAGAACTTAATATAAGGTAATGAGTGCCATGAAATATTTAATAAGTGACCACCTTACTTTCTAAGATAAACCATCATAAATTCCAACTACAAATCCCTTAACTAGAAGTGAATTCTTAAGTTCAAAGGCGTTGCCAAAAAGGACGACACTAATTCAATAGTAAGGTAAAAAGGGTATTACCCTCCCAAAGATGGGCATAGCCAAAACAGCATGGCTAGGTCAAGGGAAAGCCTGGTCATGAAGTATGACTAGATTAGGGGTAGATCCAATATCATGAAACAAATAGAACAAAATGATCCTCAAACTTTAAATGAAACTTAACAGAAGTAAGGAAAAATTAAGAGCATCATCAATATAGCAGGTTCAGTCCACCAACTTCCCTTACTTTGAAAGCAAATCTTTTTGCATCGATGCCTAAGTGTATTGGCACCTTGTCTACGCCACCACTAGCACAAACTCAGTTAATCACTGAGCTCAACAATAATGACGAGCTACATTTTCTAATTGAAATTTGGGATAGAAATAAATTGTCTTTAATTATTTTTTTCCCATCTGAGTTGGTGCGTGTTGACCTCATTTTGAGGTCATTACTCTTTTCCTTAGGATCTTAGGATCTAGCTCTAGGGGTTCCTATTGACTATCTTAGAAAACTAGTATTGGAATCCATCCCCTTAGAAATTCTAACCACTTCCTATTTCTCTTGTGATGTCTCGCATTGATGATTTCAAAACCATCGTCGTATGGTCGAGTGGTTAAGGACTATCATGTGGAGGCTCAAGAAGAAGTTCCCAATAGGATCTCAAGCCATAGGCAAACCTCTTCAAGACTTTATCATCACACACACACACAAAATGTACAGAATTGACTAAGTTGCACAAGATCGGATTAAAATTGAGCTTAAAGGATGGGTGAAAATGCGAACTTTTTGTGACGACCTCCGATGACGAAATGGACTACGCCAACGCGTCCGAGACATCATTTTTAATTAATAAAGACACCCATATCGTCATAATTCCGTGCACGAGAAAATTACATGCAAATCGATGAATTCGTTAAAACGGCCTCCGACGCCGAAATGGACCACGCCAACGCGTCCGGAACGTCAGAATTACCTAAAAAGAACATCTATTTTGTTATGCTATGACACACAAATAAAAATATACAAATCAATTTTTTTTAAAATATTAAATACTTTTATATTTATATTATTACCTATAATATTAATTTTAAAACTAAACCCTACTTAATCCCTACCCGCGTGCGTGACCCTCGTTCCATCCCGATTGTGGCTTGCTCGGCTCGCCCCCTTTGGTGCCCTAAATCTCACGATCGATCCACGCGGCCTCCTCCTCTCCCGACTCCTCTTTTTCTTAGCATGGCCGCTCGACTGAGCGGCTCTCCAATCATAGGATTTCGGCAGGCCGACCTTTCTCCTTCTCGAGGTCACATTTCCTCCTTTCTTAAATACGTCTTTTCATTTCCTGTTATTTCATTCGGCCATGGCATCGTGGTAGGTGCGGCTCTGCCTCCTTTCCTTGCTTATAAATGCCCTTTCTAGGGCACGATGATAGGTTGTTGAAAGTTTTGAGAAGAGAAGAGAAATGATTTGGGGCACCTTTGATCGTGAACATTTGCTGTTGTATTTCTTAAGGCTTTCAGGATCTCTCTTGCTTTAAAGATCTTAAGGGAGGTTTTTGCTGATTTTTTTTTATCTCCTTAGGCTGGTTCTTGAGTTTATTATTGAATCTACATCAAGAGATAATCTTCTTCCTCCTTCTTTTTGTAAGTATTCAAAGGAGATATCTGTTTAACCCTATTGGATTTATAATTTATAAAGATGTGTTTAGGAGATTTTGTCTTGATTATTTCTTGCCTGCCGAAAAAAAAAAGAGAATGTTCCTTTTGGTTTTCTTCATTTGAAATTGCTCCTGAATGCGTTTTTTTTTTACTGCACCTGGAATTGGGAAATTAAGGATGCTTTAGGAATTTATTAAGTTTAATGTTAAAAATAGAAATGGTTATGGAGTTGGGGAGTTGGAACATATGAGTGAAATACATGAATTAGAAATATGTTTTCTGGAAAATGTGAAGGATGCTAGGGGTTTTGCACAACAAAATTATTTGAGAAAAGAAAAATCAGATTTATTTTTCTTTTTGAACTGAAAAAAAAAACTGTTGATGAAAAGGATCCATACAAGGGTTGTTTATTGTCCTTATTCAATATATGATGCTTCTTTTGAATAGAACTCAAGCAATATGATTCTTCTCTTTCTCACTTCTACTTTTCTGATGCTGCTCATATTTATACATGTTAGATGGATAATTGTTGTTGCCCTTATTTGAAACGCATGCTAGAAGAAATCTTTATGTTGGAAAATTATTTTTGGTTGTCATATTTCCTGTTATTTCCTTATTTAAATCACATGTTGAATGAAATGATGATTTGGAACTTGATTCTTGAGCTCTATTATTGTTACCCTGGTTCAAATATATGTTGGGACTTGCTTCAACATTTTGAGATGTTGGCCTTGGGGCTTACCTGTTTTTTTTTGTTTTTTTTTTTTTTGTTTTCTGCCCCTCCCCCTGTGCTGGGCTCAGTTTGCCCCTGTGCTGGGCTCAATTTGCCCCTGTGCTGGGCTCGGTTTGTCCCTTATATTGTGCTCGGTTTACATCTGTGTTTGGCTCGATTTTGCCTTGTGATGGCTGGGTTTTGATCACCTGTTGGGTTGGACCTTACTTTCGGGTTGGCCCTATGTTAAAAATATT